GGATACGTCATGACCGGACTAACTCGGAGACCGGACTAACTCAAGTTGTCCAAACCGGAGTAGCTTTACAATTCCTGAGCCGAAGTAACTTCATCTCTTTTGACCGAAATAACTTTATTTCTCTTGGGCCGGAGTAACTTCTCGGCCCATTTTACCCAGTCCTTCGTACTTTGGGGCCATAAAGTCCATTTCATAGCTCGGCCCAATTTTCATCAAAAATTACCCTCTCAATTGCCCCTTAATTCCATCTGCACAGCATGATTAGGATTACCTAGTGACCAGCCGAGCTAAAAAATCGCTTAGCCTCTCCAGCCGAGCTTATTTTACTCCGGCTCTATACGTTCGGTCAAAACATCTCTTCAATCACTGACTGTAACGCTTCACTCTCCAATGACACGTGGCAGGCTCTGATAGGCTGTGAGCAGCTGTCACGCCGCCCTCGTACTACGAAAATTTTGAACAGTTCCCGCTTTTTCTTTCTCTTTCCACAAAACTATCATTCTGTCTATATATCATTTACCTACACTATTCATTTTCTTCTCTCTTCGTGCCTCTGCTTCTCTGCTTTTCCAACTACCAAGCTTGTGTTCTTCATTTGCTGCCACTGTTTTCATCTCCAGCTCCCCCTTCTTCAATCTGGTAAGCAGATCCATCTTCCCTATTCTGTTTGTTTTGCATTTGTTCTATGCATTTGGTTTACTGTATTTTTGCAAAACATGTTCTTCCATTTCTGCTTCACTTCTATACTTCCATGAAAAAATTTAGTAGAACTCATGCGTGTATGAACTATTCTGTAGAAAACTAGTCTTGGATCCAAAATCATGTAGCAACCGAACTAGAATACTGTTTATCCTATATAGGTAGATCACTTTAGATAATAACCGAACTAGAACTCCAGAAATCAGTAGTTTCAGCAGGTTATCAACTCCTGAATAACTCTAACCGAGATAAGCCCATCGAACGAAGTCTGACTTTATTAAATAAGGAACCTCAGTCTTCAACCGAGCTAAGCCTTTGGGGCTAAGCCAGCTTTCCTAGTTTCTAAACCAAACTCAGAAAGCTGCCCCTAGAGGCTCAACCGAAATAAAAAAAACTCCTAGTTTAACCGATTTAGGCCTTTGGGGCTAAGCCAGCTTTCTTAGTTTTTTAGACCAAACTCAGAAAGCTGCCCCTAGACGATGAACCGGTCTAACAAAATTGTTTCCAAAGCCAGTATGCCGAGATGCCTGCCAAGATTTGGCTAATAAGGACTTCGCTCAAACCGATCTACCAAGCATTTTACTGAACCAAGATAAAATCCGTCCATAAAGCCGAAGTAGGACTTTTACCTCGCTTTTAATTTGTAACACAGTCCAATGATCTGTGCTTAACCCCTGTGTTTTCTACTTTGCAAACTTAGGTTGCCCAGGCACTCCTGCGTGCGCTCAACTAAGCTACTGAACACAATTTTTGCACCGATATAACTTATTCTTAAATTATACGATAGATGGGGAAGTATAGATACCTAGTAAATACTCCGGGCGGCCTAGCCGAATTCAGGAAAGACTACCAAATACCTGATGACGTCCATCTGGTCTTGGCTGAAAAGACGTCATTCCCTGGGACAATGAACGCTTCGTCCCCTTCACCCTTTTATCCATTATAGAAATCGGACTACAGTTTCCAGTCCAGCCATTGATTTGCGAGTTCCTTAGGCAAACCAGACTGTGCCCAACCCAACTATCTACTAACTCCTACCGCATCATTATGGGAATAGCCGAACTGAACCGTCAAGCCGGACTAAACCTTGGCCTGGCCGAAATCTTCCATCAATATTCCATTGGCTCAAAAGAGGATGGATGGGTTTATTACCTTAGAATATGTCGCCGCCGAGAGAAGATAATTAAATATACACCGGACAAAGACTTAAACGACGATGATTTTTTCTGGGTCTCTGGGAACTTTGAGGATTTTCAAGCCCAAATTCCTGGCCGACCTATAAATTGGAAAAAAGGAGAGCCCGGTAATTTAACTTCGGTCTTCTTCCTTGCATTTTTTTATTTCGGTTTGTTAGTGTATTAACCGAACTAACAGTTCTTCTTTCGCAGATTCTGCCCACCTTTATTCCTTATACGGTTATCCAAACCTTGCAACTTTGCGAGCTGCACTACGATATCCAGGACGTAGCTGGGCTAAATTGCTGCAATTCGAGCCGACCTACTGATACAGCGGTCGCCGGAAAGCCAGAGTAACTGACTTCCTTCTTGAAGACGCCCCAGAACCGGACCCATCCTTGCCCGAGATTAGACTAGTCCCACTTACAACTGAAGAAGAGGTGGCAAAAAAGAATAGAGTCAGGGCCCTTTTAACCGAGACAACCAGGCCCGAAGTAATGCCACCCAGCCAATCGCAGCCTGCTGTTGTGGTCCTCCCCTCTCAACAGCCGTCTTCTTCCCGCCGAACCAAGCGAGCTCGGACTGCCGAAACCGAACAAACTTTGGTTGATGAAGAGAACCTGCTCTTCCACCAAGCTTACCACTGAGCCCCCAACCGCAGCCCTCTGACCGAACGACCGGTTGCTGGGCACCGAAACTTACTTTCAACAACCGAGACATCCAAGCCTCGGACTCGATTATTGCTGAAAAAGACCATCAGTTGGCCTTCAATCTGGCCAAGGGTGTGTGCCTCCCCAAAGACATGGAGCACCACCAAAAACAACTGAACACCGAACTAAAGGCCATCCGGTCAACGACAAAATCCATGATTCTGGTAAGTGACTTCGGTCGCCTCTCTGTCTACTTTTCTTTTTTCAACTTTTACTTCGGCTAAAGGGAAATCTTTGCTTTGTCAGACCATTCAGAAAAACCAAATCACTCATAGGAAAGTGCTGGAGCTTAGGAAAATAACAAGGCAAGCCGCGGCAGAGGCTGAAGCAAAAGCAACCGAGCTAGAGGAGGCCAGAAAACAAATGGCCGAGCTACAAGGTGAGATCGGCAGACTGACCGGACTGGTTAGTTCGGCCGAAGCCGAAAAGCAGAAGGCTGCCATTGCTCT